GTGTGTGGAAGCCCGGGAGGATATGCTCAGGCGTTTGTCTCCCTAAAGCTCTCAGAAAATAACTGTGAGGACTGCAGGGCACTCACACAAGCCCCACAGGGGAGAGAATTCTTTTGGGTGAGGGTTTGGCAGCGTGTTACCAACAGTCTGGTGGGTCCGTGGTAGCATCTCATCTTGCACTCAGGAGAACGAGGTCGGGTTCCCGGCCAGTGCCCCTTATGCACAGTAACTTCTGAAGTTCATGGTTAATTTTTTATCCAGAGGATTGCTCTTGTATTCCGAGGCGTCCCTGAGTGATGCCAGAAATTCACATGCTCAGAAGGTTGGAGGTTGGAGTCTACCCAGAGGTGCCTCCAGAGAAAGGCCTGGCCGGCTGCCGGCCACTGAGCCGCAGAGGGCGCTGCGGAGCCCAGTGCTGCCCGCACACACGTGGGTCCCCGTGAGTTGGAATCGACTTATCGGCAACTGTGATTTTCCCTTAACAAGGGTGTAATCTCCATTCTAGCGATCTTCATTTGCATCTCCCCAAGGGCAGAACAAGGTGTCTCTTGTCCTACACAGGTAGTCCCCAGCTTAGGACACATTCAAATGACAGTGGGTTGCACATAAGCCATCTGCTTACTTCACGTTTGTACATCCTATGGATCGTATGTATGATGTCCGGCATGGCCGGGTATACCTCACTGATGCTCACATTCCCAGATGGTCACTGGCAGATGTTCAATTTTATTATTTACTGTTCACATCAGTGCCATTTTTATGTGTGTGACTATGTATTAATGAGCCCTGGTGGCCTAGTGGTTGTGAGTTGGGCTGCAATCCGAAAGGTCAGCAGTTCAAAACGGCCAGCTGCTCGATGGGAGAAAGATGGGGCTTTCTACTCCCATCCAGAGTTACGGCTTTGGAAACTCACAGGGCAGTTCCAGCCTGCCCTTCGGGGTCACTACGAGTTGGCATCGACTCAGAAGTGGATTTACGGTTCAGAACTGCCAATTTTACATGTGCATGTACATATTAAAGCACACCTGAAAGGTTATATGTACCGTTTGCATTCCCTAAAGACAAATAAGAATCAGCTTGAAAAAGAATCGGGCGGTGAAAGGCAATGATAATAAGAACTGAAGCAGGGAAAGCAGAGGTAGTCCACTAGTCCTGAGCCCACTGACGACAGAGCTGCTGTCAGAGCCTCGAGTGAGCCGGGACCGCCCTGCACGTATCAGACGTGCTTCTTCTCCTGTGACAGGTGCTCATCTGAAAAATTGGAGTGCTTATCTTTTTTGTGGATTTATCTGGAGAAGCCTTAAGTCTGCTGGCAGGACAAAGATGAGGCTTTCTCTTTCCATAAACAATGACAGTCTTGGGAACTCATGGGCAGCCCTACTCTGTCCCACGGGGTCACTGGACGTCGGTGCTAACTTGGGGCAGTGAGTTTGGCATTTGGTGAAATCAGTCCACTGTGGGTTAGGCTTCGGGCCGCTGACCACCAAAGCCGAGTTCAGACCCACTAGCGGTTCCGTGGGAGAATGATGAGGCTGTCTGCTCCCATAAAGACTGACAGTCTCACGACACCCCCCACTGGTCCATAGCCCTACGGGAACAACACTGGAGACACAGTGTGGGAATTGCACCCTATCTGACGCCACCACACCGAGGAAAACACTAAGGGGGTGCAACAGAACAGCAAGGGGAGCAGAGCAAGGAAGTCCCCAGGGAGTACCAAATAATAGACTTTGGGGCCAGGGTGTGGCACCCCATCAGACTCAACCAGAAAACACTCCGAAAGATCAACAAACAGACCTTGAACTATTTACAGGCTTTACTTTTTTTCTGCCATTGGTTTTTGTTGTTGTTGTTTGTTTTCTTTTGTTGCTTTGTTTTGCTCTCTCACTTTTGTGCATATTATTTTCTCTGTAGGTCTATCTAGATAAGATAGGCGGGATCAACAATCTGGAGGAGTAAACAATGCGACCCACGGTTCCAGGGGGACAGGGGAGAGAGGGAGGTGGGGGAAAGGAAGTGGAGTTAACAAACCCAGGGACAAGGGAACAAGAAGTGATCCAAATCGGTGGTGAGGTGGGTGTAAGAGGCCTGGTAGGGCTGGATCAAGGGCAATGTAACCAAGAGGAATTACTGAAACCCAAATGAAGGCTCAGCATGGTAGTGGGACAAGAGGAAAGTAAAAGGAAATATAGACATCTAAATACAGGCACGTACACATGTAAATATATTTATATATGATGATCGGGAAATAGATCTATGTGCATATATTTATAGCTTTAGTATTAAGGTAGCAGATGGACATTGGGCCTCCACTCCAGTACTCCCTCAATGCAAGAACACTTTGTTCTATTAAACTGGCATTCCATGATGCTCACCTTCCTGACACGATTGCTGAAGACAAAGTGGGTGCATAAGCAAATGTGGTGAAGAAAGCTGATGGAGCCCAGCTATCCAAAGATATAGCATC